AAACAGGCCAAGACCACCACCAAGAAGGCTGTTTCCTTGGCCAGCAAGGTTGGTGTGCCCCTGGCCAATGTTGCAAAACGGGGGAGGACCGGGTTCAGAAGGCTGTCGGCAAAGGGCTTCAGGATGAGGAGGCGGTCAAAGACTACGGCGTGATCCTCTCAGAGCTGCAGGAGTGGAAGAAGGCTGCTTCGAGTTCCCTCGCGTTCTACACCAAGAACCCTGGGTGTGAACTCAACGCGCTGCCCTTCGAGAATGACAAGGCCTGCAACAGCAAGATCAAGGACTTGTCGTGGGCCGCCAAGGAAGTCAAGAAGCTGTTGAGCGCCACCACCAAGAAGGGAGCAGTAAGGTGGTGCCTGATTGGTTTTGCCTTTATGGGTTCATCTGTTGCCATGAATGATTGGCTTTGATCTGATACCATCCTTTTGGGATGATGGTGAAATTCGGGAAGGGGGTCGTGTGACTTACACATGCCTCAAACCTGAGGGACGAAGCGAAGGGGACGAAACAGGGCTCTAGAATATACGCTAGCAGTTGTTTTTTGGGAGGGTTTGGGAAGGCGGCTCAATGAGCCGCCCAGTCAAACCATATTTATAGATTTTGTTTTACATCTTGGGCGGCCCAGTGGGCCGCCCACATGTTATAGAACACCCTGTTTGCACACAGAAAACATTCAAGCCATATATAAAGATATTGTTTTACATCTTGGGCGGCCCAGTATCTATCTCTCCGTCGATCGATCGATCTATCTATCTACATATGTATATGGTGAATGCTGCGGCTCATTGAGCCGCACAGGTTCATACATGCTAGTTGAGCATGTGAAATCGAGGTGTTGGACTAATCATTGTACATATATTGTTATATTTATGATTTAGCGTTTTTGGGCTGAGCCTATGGCATCCAAACCCAAAAAGAAGGCAAAACTCGCCACTGCTAGCCATGTGATAGAAGAAACCCAGGGACTACATAGCGTGTCTGATGAAAGTCGAAGAGTCATCTTCAATGCAACTTGTAAAGCATTGGACCGGGAGGAAGCTTCGTTGGACAAGACTTCTTGGCAGAAGCTAAATAGCCAGGCTGCTCCTGATGGAACTGCCAGGTGTTGAGGCTGGTAAGCCCGTTACTTTTTACATGTGTGACGTGAAAAAGTGCATCAAGGCCGCCATAGAACGATGCCCCAACTATGGAGAAAGGATTGAACAACTGCTGAATCATCATCCTGAAACAGTTTTTCAGACGCTGCTTTATAACGACGAGGCTAGCGGAGGCAACGTCTTGGCGCCCGACTCGGGCAAGAAGGCCTCGCTATGGTACTTTTCTTTGAAGGAAGCTGGCTTCTTATGGTCAGATACGGTCTGGCATCCATTGTGCCTTCTGCAGCATCAACAGTTTGAACAAATTCAGGGTGGGTTTTCAGAGGCGGTGAGGAAAATCGTTCTGGAGCTAAACGGTCCAGACTTAAATCACGGTATCCCAGTACAGTTTCCAAACCGTTTGGGTCTAGTGCGTCTGGACTATCGCTATATGATTATCGATCTCGACAGTATACGGTATGCCTTGGACGCCAAAGGTTCTGCTGCCATTAGGTGCTGCGTTTTCTGTAAGAACTGCATCAAGAAACACACCAACATTCCAGACTACAACGACTTCTTCGAGGACATTACCTCTCACCGTCTTGAGCGATTTCACCGGCAAAGCGACAGCGAAATCTTTAGTGTCGTTGACAACTTGAGCGCTGTTGCGCCGAATGTTTCCAGGCCAGCCCTGCAAAAGAAAGAGATGGCCTGCGGCTTCAGGTTCAATCCTGAGGGTTTGTTGAGCGACCCTTTGGCGCGTGATGCTCTGCCACCGAGCGCCTTTCTTCTCGACTTTATGCATTTGTATTGGAGTTGCGGGATCATTTCTTGGGAAGTGAACGCGCTTCAGGCCAAATGGAGTGAGACCGGAATTGGCGATCTAGAGCAGTTCTTGTCCTTGGAGTGGCGCACTTCCGTGCAAAGCTGCAAGCCATCTTTTCGAAAGCGGCTTGGTGGCGCCTTTAACTTTGAGGGTGCCGTGTACAAAGGGTCCGCTTCGAACTTAATGTTTTTCCCACTATTTCACAACTTCTTGTCAAGAGTTCTTGACTCCAGAGGGTTGCTTGTGAAGGAAATGGAAAGTTTCAATGCGTTGCGACGCATCAGCATTGAATTACGGAGCATTGCTGCGAGTTCTGCGCCACTTGCTACTGAGCGGCTACAAGAACTACAAGTCGCATCAGTCTTTGATTGTTGAAGTTTATTCTGAGAGCTTTGTGAAACCGAAACATCACCAACGGTTTCATGTGGCTGAGCAGTTGAAACAAACCGGCTTCTACGTCGACTGTTTTGCGATGGAGCGAAAGCACAAGCAGTTCAAGTCGCATATCGGTTTGCACCGTTATGACCCAAAAGTGCAACAGGACAAGGGTGAACTCAGTCATTGTGTTCGGCGAGAGATATGGAAGCATCACATCACTTCATTGGCGGCCTACCAGTTTGGCACCGCGTTGCAGGGAAAACAATCTTCATCGGACACCATTGGGCAAAGTCTTGGGAAAAGCAACTGTATGGTGGCAAAGAAGGTCCTTCACAAAGGACATACTTATTCAGAGAATGATGTGTTACTGGGGGTGCACCCCTGCACGGCTGACTCAGCAGTGCAAGATGGCACGGAGTTTTATCTCCTTATTCAGCCGATTGAAATCGAAGAGCAGACAGAGTTTTGGAGCTCTTGGCGTGTTACTGGCCGGAAGCGCTTGCTGCACATTTCCTTGGCCGGGCGAAGTCCTACATGGTGGTTGCAGCTGGACGCAGAGAAGCTGCTTTGCCTTCACTGAAACAATGTGTTTTAATGAGGTTTGAAACGCTTATATGGCTCGGCGGCTCAATGAGCCGCCAACATGTACTTTAGCTCTGAGATGTTCTATAGTCTATAGCTTTGTATAGGCGGCTCAATTAGCCGCCAACATGTTTGCTTGTCATGTGTGCAAAACGAAAATGACTTTTTTCAGCTTGTTTGAGACTATACTTTTGGTCGTCCAGGAACTTACAGAACTTATCAGTTAGTTACAAGTAATTTAAACAACTTACGGTTATATTTAAAAACACTAAAACCTAAGTTCCCTAAGTACTAGTTACAAGTTGCTTAAGTCCTACAAGTGTCTTAACTAAGTTGCAAGTGCCACAAGTAAAAACCACCGACCAAGTATGTATATAAAGTTTTGCTAATTTTCGCCTTCAAAACTAAACTTTCTCTTGAAAAACAAAAAAAGTTCCAGTAACTTCCAGATAACTTCATAAAAAACTGAAAACCAATACTTTGAAAACACGAGTAAGTTATATGTAAGTTAAAACTTCACTATTACTTTTTTGAAAAAACCAAAACTTACTTATCCGCGACTTAGGCAACCTATAGGGCTCTATAGTACACTATAGTGAACTTGTAGTTCAATATAACCTCAATAACTTCCGGGGTCTCACCTTGTATGCCCAAGGGCCGAGTTGCTTTCGTTTCCAGGCTCGCGCAGAACTACTGTTTGCCACCGGGGTCAGCCCTCCAGCAGCACCAACTCATGTTTGGGTCGAAAGCGGTGAGCTGTACTAGATGTAAAGATTCCATTAGATATACTGCTACTGAACATTTCTTGGTGCATTTGTTCAGGGCAGCATGTGCATTGAGGTTGGTGATTTTACGGTCGCGGGGGTTCACCCGACACACAGACTATTCAAATATGCTTTGTGTGCTTCAGTCCTTGCGAAGCAGAAGAGTGAGTGGAACCAACCACCATGCTCAGCAAGGCATGCTTGAAACGGATTCCGGGGCGGCCTGGAGACCAACCGGAGGCCAGGGCGAACCTAGCGCAGAGTGCATTGGAAGTGAGCGGAAAAAGGAAAGAGAGAGTTCTGTTCACACGCTCGTTAAGACAATTTGATCAAAAAGTTGTACTCTTTGGTATGGGTTTAAGCGGAAGTTGCCAAGCCAAGAACAAAGGAAATTGAACGAGATGACGGTTTTTTGGTTGACCCTTTGCAAGGCCCCCTCATGATTTCTATGGAAAACAAGGTCCTCACATAAAGATTTTGGGACCGGACCCTTTGAGCTGTTGCTCTACTGATGTGTCGAAAAACAAAAAAGCAAATATCTACAGAAGCAGAAAGCGCGCGTACTTGGCAACTAAGGTTTTATACAGAAGTTTCTTAATGTCGCCGCAAAATTTATACATTCACGTGCGATATGATGCTTAAGCGCTGCGCCAAGTGGATCAGGCACCCGCAAGCGCACAGTTCATACACGCACAAGACTGAAAGAGCGAGACACCACCTTAAAGCATCAGCGAACCACACCGCCAAAAGTTTGGAGCGCTTGGGAAACAAGACAGAAACATCGCCGAAACATAACCGGCGCACCGGCCAAACATGAGCGAGAGACCGCCAAAACATGACTGTGACACTAGTGAAACATGACTGAGGCCAGCGAAACATATGACCAAGACACCACACAAACATCACCGAGATACTACCCATGAGCGAGTCGACGCCCAAGCGCGACCTAGACGCCGCCAAACACAAGCCATACATCGCCAAAACATGACTGAGAGACACCGCCTATAAACGTGACCGAGTCACCACAAAACATGACCGAGACACCATATTTTTCTTAAATGACAAGCCTTCCGTGGGAAACCGCTATGTCTTTGTGAATCAAATTTGTTTTCTCGGTCAAGTCACCCTTGCTTGCAATTTGTTTGACAGTGTGTTTGAAGGTCTAGGTGGCCAGGATGGTGTGCAGGGTCACCCTGTCTTTCTAATTGTCGACCATTGGTTTCAGGCCCAAGTCTGAGTCTGTGTTTCCAGGGTCGCAAACAAATCATAGTGTCGCTCACCAAAGTAACAATTTTGGCACCCTTCACTGTTTGCTGGAGGCGACATCAAAGACGGAATGGCAAAAATGCATGTCTGACCGCGGTGATCCACATCCTGCTTGAAAGCAATCATCTCAGGTGAATCTTTCCTTGGCATCGCAAAAACGTGAGCAAAATGCGAAGGAAGAACCACATACAAATTCTTAAGTTGCGCCCAGATTCCAAAGTTATGAGCTACGAGGCTGAGAGTCATAGTTAAATCGTCAATTTTCCAAAAACTTGAAAACGCCCCCTAGCCAAATGACTTGGAGCTCTATGAGCTTGCTCAATGCGGCTGAAAAGCCTTCTTTGCTTTGCGTCCTGCAACGCCAACTAAACCCCACTCATAGTGTACTCAACCAGAAGCGCGTACTCATCAATCATGCTGTCTGCGTTGGAAACTGTCTTAGGCGTGTTGTCTTGGCAGCGCAAGGAAAACATATGGTGTTTGGCTGGCCGTCACAGGCTCGGTTGGCACCGCCGGCTCCAACGCCCGCAGTTGCTCCTAGCGGTCTACAGACATTTCAATCGTCTAGAGTCTAAACTCATTGCCTGAAATAGATTAGTTTTAGATGTATTCCTCCTCCTAGTGCGTGAAAATCCTCAACCGCCCAAGTGCAAGCAAGCATTAAACTTCCGAACCAATAGGCTGTTGAAGTCCTTTGAGGTGACCTGGTACTTCAAAATGCGAAATCAAAATTGTTCTCCCTGCTCTACCCAAACAAACCCGTTCTTCAACTCGCTTAACGATGCGAGGCTGCACGTTCTTCTAGCCGAGTATTTGCGCTCCTCCAATTCAGCAACTTCTTGCCTCTGCTGCTCCTCCAACACCTCCAGCCGCTCCAAGAGCTGTCGCCTTGCAGTGGGTATTGTGGCGGTGCAACCGCTGCGTCCAGGATATTTACCGGCTGTCAAGGTGCAAAAAGTTCGACCCAGAGTCTTCTATGGCTTCCAACAGACCCGTCAAAATTATAGGACCGGATAACCCCACATGATAACAACTCTTTGAAGATAGAACTGACTAGAGCGGAGCAAAAAAAATACACACATCGAAGCAGAAGAAGAAGAAACATAAGGTAAACTGAGAGTAGACTGAGGCAAGTGGAGACATGTAAGGTGTTGGGTGTGTCGTGGAACGGATGATAAAGTTTACTGATGAGTACGAGCGGAGTGAGATATGTAAGCGGGGGTTGAGTGGGTGATGCTGTATCTCGTGACGGGTGTATAATGCCGAGAAGTGCTGTTAGGCGAATGTTGAGTTATGTGCTATTATATCTCACATGTCGTCACGCAGATCGTAATGGGTCTCACAGCCTCCCATGAACTTCCCCACCGCCGGCCAACGTGGTGTCAGCACAACCGCAGTTGAACTGTTTGGTAAGGACGAAGGTAGCGACCTGAGCACGTCAGCAGTGGAGAAAACGTCACATGAGGACTATGCAAGCAGCTCAGCTACCCACGAGGGTGTCCGCAACCCATACCTGCAATCCAGAGTAACAAGGAAACAGAACCCACACTCTCAAAAATGGATCAGAGCAAAACACTTGAAGAGTGACTGAATCAATGTGGATGAACGGCAGTGCATCCCCTTCATTCGTACGTCAATGGCCTCCCAGATATGCAAGTTCCGGGCGGGATCAGCAAGGCACGTCACCGGATCCCCCGATCATTGAAAAATCGGTACGTCCCAGTAGCTACATTGGCGCATCGTAGCAACTGTCATATCCAGAAGGATGTTGGCCCCAACACGCAGGAACTTGCGACCCTCCACACAGCGGCCAACTCGGTGACAGCCCATGCGTATAGAGTTACACGGACTGCTTGGTAAAGGGTTCGGCCTCCCAGATATGCAAGTTCCGGGTGGATCTGCAAGGCGCTTTGCCATGCAGGAACTTGCGACCCTCCACACAGCGGCCAACTTGGTGACAGCCCACGCAGACAGAGTTACACGGACTGCTTGGTAAAGGGTTCACCCGCTTCCAGATATATATATATATATGACTGCAACTTCTTCCAAATGCCCGAAAAGGATGGTCACTGACTTAAACTCACCACAATAATACAGCGTCTGGTTGGGGACAGAAAACGAAAACAGCAATACCAGACCGATGTTGTTTTCGTTTACCCCAGTGCTGTTGTTACTTGTGCCTGGGTCGTCGTGGACGCAAATCAGATCATGGCTCTTGACATCAAAGACAACCGCAAGCAGATGGTGTAAGCGGTCTGCAGGTCATGTCCAGCTGACAATGACATCGAAAGTGGTGAAGCAAGGCCCACCAAACCCATCGCAGCCTTAGCGAGTGCGTCTTGCGCTTGTAGCTCTTCCAGAGCCACCAAGTCCTTGCTACGTCACCCCTCAGTGGTTGGAGATGCCTGTCATTGTCCTGTTACCACAACACAGTGACAGGCAGCTCCGACCCCGTGCGACACGCGCCAACGACCAATAAATTCAGGACAAACGCCCGGAAATAATCCCACAGAGAATCAGCAAGTAGCATCAGGTCTGCGCAAAGCAGTTTCAATCCGCTGTGTCTATTCACTGATCCCAACCGCTTCGAGCAGCAGACAAACTTATAAATGCACTTCGCTGCGCGCAACCGAGCCAAATGTCGGCAACAATTCGGCGTATCCAGTCCGCAATCCTTCATTGCTGAAGAACACACGTGAGTTCGCGGTGTATACTTGGTCTGACATGATTACTCACAAGGCAAACTTGCACATTCAGATCGACGCATGATCACACAACCGTCATGGTATAGCTTCGACGCCAGCAAACCCAATGTTGGACTTGGACATGGGTGCGCAGCAAGCGCTGTTCAATCCCAGCCTCCGATGATCGAGCGTGCACATCGATGACTGTCATCCTGATTCGTCTTCACGAAACACGCCCAAGAGCTCTTTCTGACACAGTTTCTCCACAGATACATAGTTCTTTTCAGCGTGGATATTCAAAACCTTCATGAAGCCGGGTTACCTTTTGTCTTCCATGTCTGCAAAGCGTTGCGGTAAGAGAGTGACAGGCCAAGTAGTGCACCGAAGCTGCAAATCAACAAGTCGCATCAGAGCAGCTTCAGGTCACACTGCGTCACAAGCAGTGGGTCACAACAAAAAAATAGGATCGTACCTACAGACAGTCCCCGTAGCCGCAAATCTGCAAGTCGCATCAGAGCAGCTGCGGACGGTCTGTCGCACAGCGAGTCTCCTCTCCAGACTGCAGCGATGGGATTTTGGACAGCAAAAATGCGAGCGGAACGTTGGACATCAGCAAGACGCATCAAACCAACTTCCCGTCTGACCGCAACGTATCCTCTCACATGGGGGCGTCGCCCTCATCCTGCGTAGCAGCGGAGCTCTCAGTCAACTGTGGCAAGGTTCCGGCCCAGGCTTGCAAGTCACGTGCTGCATCTGGCATGGCCTCCCTCAAGTGGTGAAACCTTTTCACAGGCGTCCATGTGGTAAGGAGCGTCCACAGAAAATCAGCAAGTAGCTTCAGGTCTGCAGACAACCCACGTAGCTGTCCTGTAAATTGTTGTTACGACCGTCTGTGACAAGACTGAAGATCTTGCGCTGAAGCCAACAGGACCCGCATAAATCAAAGTCGACGCATCGTATTATCTCAGGCTGCATTACCAACTCCACCATGACGTGATCGATAGCAAGATAGCAAGACAAAATTCCTGTATTATATCGGAATCTGTGACACACTTAAACTCATGCTGTCATACTCTGCGCTGTCGCTCTAAATCCTGCTCTCACAAACGCGCGCCTACATCTCAAGCTGCTGGACCAACTCCAACATGACCTGCCTGCCGATAGCAAAACACAATTTCCTGAATTCTTTTGGATTCGGTGACATCGCTAATACTCATGCTCTCATACTCTGCGCTGTCGCTCAAAATCATGCTCTCACAAACCCGAGCCTACAAGTTTCTTGAACATCGAAGCGCATGATCCTGACACGTATAGATGCGAAGACATACGTCAGATACCTACTCCATCATACTACTCACTCAATGGCTCATTACCATCTCACTTTAACATCTGTCTGCGTCAATCTCACGGTTTCCCAAGCTCCTGACAAACATCCATTCCGCAGCGCCAAGTAATAATGCAACGCTGCCACATCGTCGGTGCGGTCACTGGAGACATTTATACGGGGAAACAGGCTGAGTGACTGCTCGCGTGACATTACTGTGTACACATGGAGTTCGATTCCTATGTGAACATCAAGGAACCGGTTAAAGTGAAACCAAAGAACAAACTGCTGCCAGAACACGTTGAAGAAAACTGCGTGCGTATAACTCCAAGTGCTGCACCTGCCACACAAAACGAGCCGGCGTCCACACAGGACAGGCTCGTCGCCAAGCTTCCGCAGACCTATATGAAGGTACTGAAAGTGCCACGCCTGCCACACAGATCGAGCCTAAGGAGCTCCAAGTGCTGCACCTGCCACAAAACAAGGGGGCGTCCACACAGGACAGGCTCGTCGCCAAGCTTCCGCAGACCTCCATGAAGGTACTGAAAGTGCCACGTCTGCCACACAGATCGAGCCTGGCGAGCTCCAAATGCTGCACCTGCCACACAAAACGAGGCGGCGTCCACACAGGACAGGCTCGTCGCCCAAGCTTCCGCAGACCTCTATCAAGATCCCCGTGTGTACTGCCAGGGATGTCCTCACATTGGAAATTAATGTTGAAATGGAATTTATTTCCATTGGCGCAGACCTCTGAAAGAAGGCCATGAAATAAGCCAAGAAGAGGGGGGGGGGTAGTCGTTCATGATCACTATATAACAATAAATTAAATCCTGTCCCCTGACCCCCCCCTCCTCAATAACAACTTTTAAGTTCATGATTTTTCTCCTGTCTCCTGACCCCCCCCCCTCAATAACAACTTTTAAGCTTACATTGTTTATCCTGTCCCCTGACCCCCCCCCAATAACAACTTCTATAACTTTTTAATCTTCTTGACGGGAAGAGGCAGGGGGGATTGGTGAAAGATTGTGAAAGCTAGCGGGGTAGATACCTGTCAAATTTATCGAATTGATGTTAAGTGTAGCGTTTCCAAAACGCAGCTAGGTTTTCTTTTTCCATCTTGCCAGGTCTTTGGTGCATGCACGGGTTCCTATTTCAATCTACATCAGCGCTTCATCTGGAAATGTTTGTAATTTATTTCCTGAGGTGTCTTACCTGAAGATAGGTATGATAGGTCACATGGTCAGCCCCCCATGGAAAATATTTAAAATTTGGTTTCTTGACTTTTTGAGTCTTTGGTGCTGTGTCTGGAGTGGGGGGGTGGTTGTGTGTGGAAAGGTTTGTAATTTATTTCCTGGGGTGTCTTCCTTGAAGATAGGTCATGTCAATGAACATGGTCAGCCCCCATGGACAAAAATTGTTTGACACTTCATTTTTGGACTTTGTGAATCATTTGGGCTGTTTCTGGGGTTGGGGGTTGTGTCTGGAAATGTTTGTAATCTATTTCCAGGGGTGTCTTCCTTGAAGATAGGCCATGTCAATGACCATGGTCAGCCCCCCTGGACAAAAATTGTTTGACACTTCATGTTTGGACCTTGTGAATCATTTGGGCTGTTTCTGGGGTTGGGGGTAGTGTCTGGAAATGTTTGTAATTTATTTCCAGGGGTGTCTTCCTTGAA